GGCCTACACGAGATGAGGCAGGATAAAGAGGGATAATCCCCCTCGATCCCAAATCATTGAGGCCAATTTCTAGCCATAGAATAATGGCGAGTCACCGAAACATTGACAAGAAAAACTGTAAAATAAGTCATTTTACTCTGGTCCAATCATCTGTAAACTTGTTTTCCTAGATGTTAACACTAAATAATTATTTTATTTTAAAGTTTAAAAATCAACACAATATATATTAATCTTTTATCAGTAAATAAACAAAGCACCTACAAAAAGAAGTCACCTATTTATATTTTCAGTTAAGTTTTATAAAGAATTTTACTTGTTATGCCTTTCACACGTATAAAAAAAATCATTAAAAGTCCAATTAATAAAGTAATATGAGTTTATTTAGGTGATCATATAAGTAGAATTACAAATTAACATGTAGAAAAAAGTATGAAACAAAGGAGATCAGTTATCTCTATAAAACGTTAAATTTATAAAAACAGTAACATTCAGTTATCGTAATGAGCCTTGTTCGGAGAACGATTCCGTACTACAGGATATTTTCTGCCTCTCGGACTGGTGTGATTAGACTTCAGATCATATAATTCAATTCACACCAATTCGAGAGGCAGAAAAGTCAGAGACTAGTATGGGACTACTGCGCTAACAAAGCTAATAGACACTTGTGCCGCCGGATCTTTTCCATTCGCCATCAAGCATAAGTGTATGAATATTAAAAAACGACATGAATTTTACTACTAGACAATATCCAAGCTCTGATAATAAGTTATCAAGACAAAAATGTTTAGGCACTGTTAAAATATTGCAAAAATGAAGGTAAAGTTAAAACATGGTGACAACGTAATGGAAAAGATTAAACGGCATTAAACTTTATCGACATTATACATAAATACTGACCTCAAAACAAATTAAAATATAAGTGATAGGGAAACATAAAATACCTGTAAAAAATAATTTAGTTACCCCTATTTCTTTTTCGTTTTTGCGAATAATCAAACGCAGCTTTATACACTACATCTAAAATTTTATGTCGTGCATCCTCTCCACGTAAAATTTTATTAATTCCATCCACCCAGTTATGGCAGCATAAAATAGTAAAATGTTTTATTGCTGTTTTTTTTACTAATTCAGTGTGTTCACATTCATTAAATTCAAAATTAATATTTCTATTTAAAAAATATAATAAAAGTTGCAAAAAGTCCTTTCTTTTATAAGTTTGCAACAATAGTGGTTTAAAAACCGCATAAATTTGGTTAATTCCCGTAATAAAATTTGGAGTACAATATTTAAGTTTATTGGGGACACTGTTAGCAAATTCTTTTGCCACACATAAATCATGCCATTGATCAAGTTTATTTGTGCAAATTATATTATTTTTGCAAGTCTGACATGTATTAATGGATTTAATTTTTTTTGATACAAAACCACTTACATACCCTACTGTTATGGTGTCTATATATGTCAGTGTCTTTTGTGGCATAGTCATGTTTAAGAGGCTATGAACATTTTCCAAGTTATCGTAATCCTCCTCAGGTACCCCTTGCGTAATAAACTGCTTCACTGATGATATACCTAATATTAAATGAACTGTCATTTTCACAGTTTGCAGACAAATAATGTCGTGTTATAAAATTATTAAGTAATAATGTTTTATAATATTGTTTAAAATGTGGCACTGTTGAGTTAACGTTTCGTCCTCCATGTTGTCGTAGCTGGCCAAAAAAATTTTCAATCGGATCTTGATTTATCATTTTAGGCCTAAAAAAGTAATATTATTTTCTTTAAGAATCTTTAAAAGTTCCTCCATTCCGGCAAGGGTGCGGATCCAGTTTTTAAGTGATGGCGGAACCATTTCTTCTTTAGAGATCACATTTACAAAGTACATATTTTTAAGGTGATTTCTTGCTTCCCTCCAAAACATAACATGTCCTGATGAAGAGCTAACTGCACATTTTAAAATTTTTCCGTTTTTAGGAAAGAGTGTATTACCGTTCACACTGTCAAATAATTTATCAAAAAATTTCAAAACTTCTGCAGTTTGGCTTCCTGAAGCATCTAAATTATTTTCACCTAAAACAAAATAGTTATATGATAGCTGACTTTTTTATTTACATAATTATACTTACTTAATGGTAAATTTACTTTAGACAGAAGCTGCATCACCGAAGCAACTGAGTGGCTGAAAACTTGAGCAGCAATCGACACCTTCATCTTTTTTATTTTTTGAGGAACAACATGGCACTCTGTTAACTTTGGCAACAATCGTAAATCACCAGATGAATTGTCAATATTATACACTTTTGTAATGTGGTCCCACTTGGCTGTGTATATCTCTTTATTTTTTTTCCAAATTAAATTTTTGTTAATTAAATTATTCCTTATACCTTTCAAAAGATGTGGGGGATCGAATACATGGACAATTGTTTGACCATTAACATTGTATATCTTCAAATCTTGTTGATAATTATCTTTATCTGGAAAATGTTTTTTTAAATAATTAATGGCAGCACAGTTTGTTGCTCCTTGGTCACTAACTGTGGCCACAATTTTAAGACCTGCTTGTTGGCAGTTGCTTATTACCGTCTTCAACAATCTTACCAAGTCCACTGTTTTGGTTGAACTTTTACAAAAAGAGTATACGAGTGGTTGTTTCCACGATTTTGTTATGCCTCGTACCATAAATACCAGAACATGGTCTGCTATGACCCCTGTCGTGTTTCCCTCACCAGTATCCTCAAACCCTTCAAACTGAAAAGTATGGGTGTTAAGACTGACATGTGGTTCCAAAGCCATTTCGTCAAACATTAGTATGCACAATTTGTCTCGAGGCTGCAGGTGCCTTGTTGACACCCTATCTCTGCATCCAGCCACAGCGCAGTAACTTAATTTAACCATAATAAAAACTGAAATAGGAATAAAATTGTACAATTAATATTATTATATAGTAGATACAACTAAATGCATTAGTTACTAAACCTACTTCTTACCTTAATATAATCTGAAAAACACACTAAGTATTATACTATATAGTCCAAAAAATCACAATAAAAACTAAACTTAGAAAGCAGGAAAAACTATTTAATCACGCCACAATAACCACTCCACTATAACCTCAAACACATTTGAAAACTAATGGAACTGACAACAGACAGCACGCCGCCGGTAAATTAGGTAGATAAGACAATATAGACTTTTTATCTATGCACATAGAGCCCTACAAAATAGTACCTGTGCGCCATCTATTGAAAAGGCCGCCACGGAATCATGATTATCATACAAATGCGCAAGCCCTGGCGTTTGCTTTGCTTCAGTTACCAGTGTTACCACCAGGCTAGCAGGTTTTCGTTTCTGTTTTCATTTAATTCAAAAAGATCTCAGATGTAATAATTAACAAAAGGCAAGTTCGGTATTAACATCACAAAACCCGTCCCCCGCGGAAAAACTCCGCGGTAACCCTGACGTACACTATTCCCGCACCGGCCCGCGAGTCAGTGACTCAAAGGCCGCGTGCATTCCCTAGCTACACACCACACGCACACACAGACACGACACCCTCCCAACCGGGCGCGGCGGCCCTGATTGACGCAACAAAGCGTCTTCAGGACTTCTGCGTCCAGCTGACGACCATGGTG